CTCGTACCGTACGTTCCGATTTTGGTAATTATATGATTGGTTGGTCGTTGGAAGCATCAAAGCTAGAAAGGTTAAGCTTAATTTTCTTCTGACGGTTGGGGCATAAGTACTAACTCTTGTCCTAGCCTTTTATGATTTTTGGCTTTAGCGCCATTACTCGCTTTCTGAAAAGAGAAGAGGGAAAGGAAAAGGAGAAGGACAAAGGGAAAAGGATTATGTGAAATCTATGAACATAAACAATATTTTAGATTTGAAATGTACAATATAGAAATGCATAACGGCGCTGTGGTCACTACCCGAGACTTGTCACTATTATCAAGTCATAAAAAGTAACAAGGACTAAAATGTGATCCTTTGATTACTGGAAAATCCAGATTCCCTAGGTTGAAGTTGTCACGACTAGGGTTCGGTGGTAGATCTTATACCAGTAACGCACCACAAAAAGGTGATCTCCCAACGTTACGGGTTTTAAAAAATAATAATTTACAAAATGGAACGAACTCACCAAGCTTAGCCAATTGAACCTGAAGGCTGCCTGACATGTGTTGATGTAGAAGTCGAAATTGTAGACATCAAGACAATAACAACCGCAAGCTAGATGACGAGGCGCTGGAGACATTCATGGCCGAAGCTGAAGTGGTGGTGAACAGTCGTCCACTCACGTATCTACCGCTTACATCGGAGGAATACGAATCCCTTACGCCAAATAATTTTCTTCTGGGCAACTCAAGTGGTGTGCGGCAACCGGCAGTTCCTGCAGCAACTCCAGCGGACGCTCTACGAACCTCTTAGAGCCAGATACAACAACAGCTCGACGTGTTCTGGAGAACTAAACGTCCGAAGTGGTGCGGCGAGGTGAAGCCGATAGCTGAAGGAGAACTGGTCTTGATAGTTGGCGATGAGAAGGAATGAGTGGATAAAAGGTCGTATAGTCCAAGCAATCAAGGGGGTGGACGGAAGAATACGGCAGGCTATGGTATAAACTGTTAGGGGGCTAGTGATGAGATGAGTAAAACTGGACCTGGTGGCCAGTGTTACGGGGGAGAGAATGTTGGCATTGGGAACACTGCTTGTGACGGTACAGTAGCGGCTCGGGCGAACTGTTAACTAAACTGTCACGTTGACAGAGCTGAAGGAGAGAAGGAAGATAGACCGTGAAGATCTGCTGTGTCATCTATCTAATTATAATAGAATTTCATAGTGAAGCTATGACATAAGGAGAAAAAGAATTAAAAAGTGTAATTTATTTGCATAAAGCTAAATTAAATTGCCTCTTACAGCTAGTTAAATTATCTTATCGCCATATGCTTAAACCGAGTTGTTCTATCTTTGTGAGTCTTGCTATTTCATGCGAATTGTAAGTTCTAAATCTAAATTGTTTAAACTTAACCTAACTTATGCTAAATCATGCAGGAATAGCGTGAAAATAATTGTCTGGGTTTTGGATTGTCCTTAAAACTACACATGCAAACCGATTTTTTTTAAGTAAAACTAAACCTAATGAACTACTCCAAAACTAACCTAAAAATAAACTTACAGATAAAGCTAAATTGCAACAAAAATACCGTCGTTGTGATTTGCTAGCAGAAATCGTACCGTGGGACATATTCGACCGACAAACATTGGGAACACGCACTGTCATTGCAGCATTGTCGATTTACCTCCAGTTGTTGGCTCTCGATCCACGTTCCGATCAGCTCTAACTGTTCCACTCTCAGATTCAAACATTGCAATACGCAAAAACACTTGTTCGCAAGAAACTTCACAATTTTCTAAACACTGGAGCAAAATTCAAACACGTCACTTCTTAAGCACAACCTACTTCGATTCTTCGAAAATTTATATTTGTTTTCGCACATTTTTGATAATATGTAACTCAAGACGTTTTAACAAGAAAAAATAAAATAAAAGCAATAGATTGTCATTATTATTAAATTTGGATTATCTCAACATTATTTTCAATTCAAATGAATTTGGAAACGAGATTTTGAAAACTTGTCTGAATTTTGGCGACCCACCTGCGGGCAGCCTGCCACCGGTTTGTGTCAACCCATAGACTGAGAAACGCTGGCTTATATTTACCATACGAAGGAGTTTCGCATTATTTGAAAATTTTCTGAAGACAATTATCAACCATTTCAGAGATGTTTAAAAAACGCGTGTTTTGATATCTTTGGCACCACTGTGCACTTTGCACACCGATGGCTGACTGCTGACATGATTTTCATCACACTTTCGCCGCGGTGTGGGTGGACGGAAGGGAAAACGTCCTCATGAAAATGACAGCTGCGACAACGATGACGAAACAGGCCACGTTTCGCCATTTGTTATATTTCGGATGGCCTGAATCGTAATTGTTTGCTTGTTTTCCTTGTTTTGGTTCATTCGTGAAAATATGGTAGAATGCGAGCCATACAGCTGCCGCCAAGTAAGTACTGAACAAACATCAGCTGACACAATTTATGCTTGGCGGTGTGTGTGTGCTCTCATGCTGTCCCCTGAAATGTGTTATGTTATGTTACTGCTAGCTGCCACGTTTGCATACATTTTCCGGGAATATGGATCGTTTAGATCACGGGAGGCTCTGTGCGAAAAGCGACATGCCATGAACTGTGAAGTGTATACGGACCAAAGGTAAACGATGGTTGTTTTAATGGAAACCATGGCTCTCTGAGAAGAAAGGACATGTGGTTAGGGTTTCATGTTCTGCACCGTTGGAAAAATGTATGTGAATTTAAGCACTTAGCTAGCGTTAAATTTTGTGTTAACTTGCACTTTAACACGTGTCAATTTCGTGTTTTCATAAATCAGCAATATTGCATACTTAAAATTACACGAGAAATATTTTGCGACATGATTAAAATTCATATTTTTTTTTCCTGTGTACTTTGGGTGTGCATACAAAAACAATATGAAATTCGATTTCCGAGAAAATTTGGAGTTGAACTTGACATAAACAGCTCAATTGCTTACTAACATTGCCTTTTGTATACAATATTGAAAAGTTACATGAACGTGACGCATATGACCTGTCGCGCAAGCGTTCTATTTTAAGCACTTATAATAATTATTTAGAGTTTTTACTTCGCACGCCATTTAGAACTTTTGGAATACAATATTAGAGCCATTTACGCAGAAACTGAGTAAGTTCTACACTCAAAAAATTGCCCACGTCATCATCATGTGTCTCACACTTAATTTTGCGCTTATTGTGAAACACATCCATTTCATGTGTGAATCTCATGCTATGAACCATGCCTGAACACTATGGATTTGAATTGTGACACACTTGGATTCTATGTGCCTCATATGGTGATATCAATAGCTTTGCACATCATAGTTCAATATTCTACAATATTCTACTCTATCGACTTCTTCGACAAATATATAAACAAATTTCAGAGGCCAGAGCTTTCACATATCTTTTTAATTGGCCTGATTTGGGATTCGATGTTGGACTGTTGGGGTGTGCTGCTGTCGGAGTCTTTGTTCGATCTCACTGTGCCACGATTGTTCTCATATATGAGGTGGCTTGATGGGATAAAGTCACAACTCTTGTTTTCGATGTTTACCTTTCTGAGCAAGCAATTCACATCGTATTGAAATGGAAAACACTTTAAATCCATCTGTTTTGAACAGTAGTGTGATTCAATGTGCAATACACTTGAATAGATAGTGAAAGATTTTCAACTTTTCAAAGTTTGAAACACTAGAAATTAACGTGTATAACACATTGAACTAAGGTGAAATACACTTAAAGTAAATGTGATTGTGCATTTAAAAAATCAAGTGAAACGTGTGGAATTTTTTGAGTGTACTGATCAGAACAATATTGGTTTACTCAAATTTTGGCAACTTCATACATCATCCAGAAATGGGTGCCATCATCTATACGTTCACTAGATAGACTCGAAATAGCGTGTTCCTAATTGTTGAAGCCGAGCTATTTGTGCTTCGGTTTTCGTAGCAGATGGTACTGGACGCTGTTGATGAAAAATTGTTTTTTTGTACTGGACTTGACTATGAATTATGCTAGCATTTTTGGTGCGTGGACCAAGTTGCTCGATGAAACTGCTTCCGCGATACGCTAAATTAGATCCTGCGTCCGTGGATGCCGCTGCAGTTTGACACCATTGCAAACAACTACAAGTTGAACAGCTCGATCTAAGTAATTAAAGCCATCTGCATCGTTGCTCGTCTCGCTACCCGATATGCACCATAAAAATCCACCTTACAGATATTTCTCATCATTTCACATCCCGGCCGAAGGCAGGGCGCGGCCAACATTAACCATAAGTACGCTTTTAAGTTGGCAATCTTGCTGCAACCGGATTTCCTTTGTTGTATGGTTGAAGGTATCTCGCAGCGGATTGCTTAAGCCCCGGTCACCGGATAGCTTTGGCTGTCGGAGAAAAGTGCCAAGGCGTTGCGTTACCATCCTCGAACAAAGAAGACAGAGAAAAGGTGGAACGCTTTTAGCATTACACCGGATCTGTACAATTTTTGCTGTAATCCAAGAACATTTCAAACGGAACACATTTATCGGAATGAAGGGGTGCAACAACGTGGTTATATAGGTAGGTAGGTAGGTTGTTTGCCATTTCTAGTGCGAAGTTTGCCGGTGGTGGGTGGTGTGGGTGCGGAAACATGAGTACATATAGACACTCTACAGACTACCATGCGCTTCCATAAATATGATTGTGTACCTACAGTGAAGTGTGAAATGAAACTATTTAAGAGGAGATTGTGTCGGGTGGTGTGATGTGATTTTTCCAGGAAGAGGAGTGCTACACAAAACATTGAGCTTTTCATTGACCGTGCCGAATCTTGTCAAATTGGTGCCGGTTTATCGTGTACGTAGAGTACAGTACGTGTGGCTGGGTACAGTTTGTGTGTGTAAGCATCAAGCCGAGTGACGTCGTTGTGATTCGGTGTGTTTATCTTGTGAGGTATTTTTGTTACTGTTGTTAGTATAGTAATAGAATGATGGTTTCACTTGCATTTGGAAATGTAGGGAGCGAGCTCACCTCCGTCAACATTCACACAAACCAGCCCGGGGCAGCAGTTTTCGTTGGAATAGCATGGTTTGCCGTAGCAGACGTCCTCTTCGACACGCTGGCTTTGCTGATCCTCGTCTAGGATTTCATTCTGTAACGGGAGGTAGCAGAGGGAGAAAATAGGAAGCATGAATTGCTGACGCAAGTGTGATTTTTTGATTTGATGGATTTCCGTCGGGTCATATACGCACACAATTTGTGGTAAGTGTCACCACCGCCCTTGTACGGATTCTATTAAATATATTGGCAGCGTCAGTGAAGAACGGAAGAAAATTCGTTCAATGTCACCAAAGTAGCTAGAAGACCGAGTGTTGTACCTTCGAAGACATCGCTGAAGGAAGTATTTTCTCACCAGTACCTATTTATTTTATCATTCGGTCGTTTTTCATAGCCACTTTTCATAAATAAATGCCATTATGTACCTAAGAAATAAGCATTCACAGTCATTTGAAAAATTGTCTCGAAAAAATAACGCAGCTAGCAGGCCGTGACTAGTTTCCTTACATTGGCATTGTTTGTACCCCACATAGCAAAAAATTGAAGTGGATGCACTTCAATCGTGTCAAAAATATGGTGTAATATTACTTGCCAAAAAAGACAAAATTATGATTAATACAGTGCATGAACTGACATCAGGCTGCTTTAAGTGCATTTGTTTATTCTTGTGGCCATAAAAATTGCATGAGATTTTCGACATGATTGAAGTGCATCCTCTTGGATGTTATATTAAAATTTATTTTTTGCTGTGCAAGAAACGTGTAAAAATAATATGGGATTAGGCTTACGTCAATCTATCCAGCGGGATAAACTTAACGAATTTCAAAGTTGATACGTGTTTTGGAATGTACCAATAGCGTACCATAGTGTACCTTCAAGGATTTTGAACGTACCTCAAAGCTTCCCGGAAAACTCGTGTCCCGCTGGATAGACATACGATTTCAGCAATGACCAAGTCGATCGACTAGATTTCTACGGAAATGTGACGTACCAAATGCGTACTTTACGAATCTGTAATTAATTTTTAACGTACCTTTTATTTTCCCTTAAATGCTTATACTAAACTTTTAAATCGGTTTATATATGAATTCTGGGCACGGAATTGGATTTTTCGGAAAATTTTAGCCCGATTTCATATAAAAAACATTATACTTAAGTGGATTCTGAAAACGAAATTGACAGGTTTCATGTGAACCACATGCCTTACAATCTTTGTTTTTAACTTACAATTGCAAAATATCTTCTAAAAATTTAATGATTTCATAACACTGTATGATATATCATCGAAAAAATGGAATTTTTAGAATAATATTAATTTTTATTTAAATCACTGGTAATTCTATCAGATAGTGAATTCCAGTTAGGTACGTTGGTCATGACCGATCAGAAAGTTATCAACGCATGCGTCTCCATAATTATTCATGAAATAATCGGGTTTGTTGGAAATTAGTATATTTTTAAGGGATGCAAATGAAAAAAAAACTGTTTTTGGTACTCAAATCGGCTAGAATCCACTTAAGTATAATATTTTTTAAATGAAATCGGACTAAAATTTTCCGAGAAATCCAATTCCGTGCCCAGAATTCATATATTTTAGCCCGATTTCATATAAAAAACATTATACTTAAGCGGATTCTGAAAACGAAATTGACAGGTTTCGTGTGAACCACATACCTTACAATTTCTTTTTTTAACTTACAAGTGCAAAATAACTTTCTAAACATTTAATGATTTCATAACTCTGAATGATATATCATCGAAAAAATGGAATTTTTAAAATAATAGTAATTTTTATTTAAATCACTGGTAAATTCTATCAGAAAGTGAATGCCAGTTAGGTACGTTGGTCATGACCGATCAGAAAGTTATCAAGGCATTTCTCATGATGGAGTTTTTCAAGCATCACCGTGCGTCTCCATAATTATTCATGAAATAATCGGGTTTGTTCGAAATTAGTATATTTTTAAGGGATGCAAATAAAAAAACTCTTTTTGGTCCTCAAATTGACTAGAATCCACTTAAGTGTAATGTTTTTTATTTGAAATCAGGCTAATATTTTCCATGAAATCCAATTCCGTGCCCAGAATTTATATATAAACCGATTTAAAAAGCTTAGTATAAGCATTTAAGTGAAAATAAGAGTAACGTTAAAAAAAAATTACAGTATGCATTTGGTACGTCACATTTCCGTAGAAATCTGGTCGATCGACATGGTCATTGCTGAAATCGTATGTCTATCCAGCGGGACACGAGTCTTCCGGGAAGTTTTGATGTACGTTCAAAATCCTTAAAGGTACGCTATGATGCGCTATTGGTACATTCCAAAACACGTATCAACTTTGAAATTCGTTAAGTTTGTCCCGCTGGATAGATTGACGTATTAGGCTTCGTTAAATTTCAATGCATTAGAAGTATTTTTTTTTCGGAAATAGCTTCGAAAAAAGATCATTTTTCAAAAATTTCATAGGTAAAGGCAAATTAACGTTTTTTAGAGTTTCCGTCATAAAAAAGTTTTTTTTTGTAACTAAATGGAGGGTGAGCCTACAGGTTTCTTCTTCTTTTTCTTCTTCTTCTTCTTCTTCTTCTTCTTCTTCTTCTTCTTCTTCTTCTTCTTCTTCTTCTTCTTCTTCTTCTTCTTCTTCTTCTTCTTCTTATTCTAATTTCAAGCTTATTGCTTATCGAATATTAGCTTATGGGGCCTCCCTTAGCTCAGTCGGTAAAGGTGCAGCTACAAAGCAAGACCATGCTGGAGATGGTTGGGTTCGATTCCCGGTCCGGTCTAGGAATTTTTCGGGTTGGAAAATGTCTCCACTTCCCTGGGCATAGAAGTATGATTGGACTTGCCACACAATTATACCAATGCAAAAATGGTACAGGCATCGAAAGCTCTCAATTAATAACTGTGGAAGTGCATCCAGAACATTAAGTTGAGAGCACGCAATAAGCTAATATGCGATATGCAATAAGCTTGAAATGCGAAGAAGAAGAAGATATTAGCTTATGGCGTGGTCTCAACTTGCACTCTCACAGTTATCAATTGAGAGCTTTCGATGCCTGTACCATTTTTGCTTTAGTTTAACTGTGTGGCAACTACAGTCATACTCTATGCCCAGGGAAGTCGAGAATTTTCCATCCCGAAAAGTTTCTAGACTGGACCGGGAATTAAACCCAGCAACCTTCAGCATGATCTTGCTTTGTAGCTGCGCTTTTACTGACTGACTGAGCTAAGGAAGGTCCTTACAGGATTCACGGCAATATGTTATTTTTGACCATCCGGGATATTAGGCCGAAATTCTAATAGTTGTTCACTTTTCACGATACGGCCTCTGTATGGTTCCAGATCAAGAAAATAATGAACAGCTAGTGAGGTAGACTGAATTATGTCGATTCATGATTTCAGAATACATTGCTACAGTATTAATCCGTGTTCATTTTAGCGAATTCTAGAATTAGTCAACGTAAAGAGTCACAAAAGTAACCTAAAAACAGGAATATTTTCATAAAATCCTGTAGAGAGTTTCAAGAGAACTATCGTGATACAGTGCCTTCCCGTTTTTTGCAACATGTGTGCTTAGGTTTTTTTAATTTCTATAAAATCGATCGAACACTAAATTCGAATCATGAAATTACTAAAACGTTCCTAGGGATCAGGGATGGCTGGTAATGCATCAAAATTTATCCAGATAGCATTACTAAAAAACTAATGATTTTATGTTGTCAAAAAAGGGAAGGCCCTGTAATTCAGTCATAGGCATATTTTCAACATGAAGGATAAATAAAAAAAATAGGGGAAACGGCTCAAATGTTGGCCTTTGGGTCTACAGATTGGACCCATTGATACAAATCTTCCACTCTTCAAAACACGCTATTTCAAAACTACCCAAATTTGGGTAGAATCCACCCAGATCTGTCAAAACTGAACCTACCCAAAAATGGGTAAACTATGTTGGGAGTGACAAGTTGGCCAATAGACAACATCGACATGAATCCGATTAACTTTGTTCATTTGTCAACTTGTCACTCCCAACATAGTTTACCCGTGTTTGATTAGGTTTTGTTTTGACCGATCTGGGTGGATTCTATCAAAATTTGAGTAATTTTGAAATAATGTGTAGACATCAAAAACGCTTTATTTTGGAATTGATTCTTCTTCCTCTAGGCTTTTGACGATTCTGTTGCGAACGTTTTGCTGGTTCTCAACTTAGTGTTCTAGATGCACATTCACAGTTAATTATTGAGAGCTTTCTATGCCAATGTACCTATGCATTGGTATGGTTATGGTAATACCAGGCATGGAAAATCATTTACATTCATTTCGTGCATTGATTTACATTCATTTGCCTCTTACTTTTTTCATCAACAGATTTCCATAAAATGGTGTATGGAGCTTTTGTAGATTTTGTTGTTAGCTACAACGTTTGTCCACAACTCAAATCTGTATCTCTTATGCATCACGAATTAGAGCGGGCAGACCTTGTTACTGTTTTTCAGTGAATGTAAAATGCATTCACTGAAAAACAGTAGTGGCTTCTGTTCGCTCTGGTTCGTCATGCATAAGATATACGGATTTGAGTTTTCAACAAAAGTTGTAGCTACTAACAAAATCTACAAAAGCTCCATACATCATTTTGCGGAAATCTGTTGATGAAAAAAGTTAGGGGCAAATGAATGTAAATGAATGCACGAAATGAAAGTAAATGATTTTCCATGCCTGGCTAATACCGTGGCTTTATGCTATCTTAAGTCCCTATTTTGGAGTAGATGCATGGGCTGAATATTAATAAGGGAAGTAGGCTGAAATAAGGGAAATCAAGTTTTGCACAGAAAACAGTATTTGAGATCTTTTAAATTGTTTGATATGCAAAAATGAATACAAATGACCAACAGTTGATTTTTTTCCCTTGATTTGTTTTCCGTCGATCTAGTTTTCCGTACTGAGTACCAATGCTACTGACACCAGGGAGGCAGCTCCCAGACCTGGACCCTACATATCAACCCATCAACTCAAGAACCGTGGACCAACGGCTTTACTTCCCTTCCGAAGGAAAGCATGATCAGAGATGTTATGCCTCAAAAAATTCCGGCGGCGTCGAC